ATATATATATTATACATACCTCCTTATGTGACAACTAATTTATGTGGCAATTAATGTAGCTTCATCCACGGAATACTACTTTATTAAGACCATTTTAATTTTTTGAGGCCAGATTAATTCACATTTTTTTGTTAGGAGAAAAACAATGTTTATTGAGTGTGCTCTATCGATCCATAGGATTAAATCAACAAATACGGTACAAATGTTATCATGTGCATTCTTTAAGGACTAATGCCATCATTTTAAATATATTTTTTATGTATTAATTTATATAAAAATTAATATTAATTTTAATATTTATGGCACATGAATTTTTTATTAAATAATTAATAAAATAAATATTATTATTATTATTTTAAAATAAAGTATCATGGTACAGGCTCAAATCCGTCCAAAAAGAAGAGAAGATACATTACAATGTGATCGAAAATCACGAAGAATCAAATGCAATTGTTAATTTTATTATATATTAATAGTAAAAAATATAATAAATTCATCTAAATGAAGAAAAACCCGATGTAAAATAAGGCGTGAAGAAGAAGATTGAGACGCGGTTATAGTGGGCCCACGCGTGCCGCTCCCTTTATCCGCCGTGGAGTATATATACTGTCTGTCTCTCTGTGCCGAATGCTCATTTACTCTTTACCCTTCTCTCTTCCTTTTTCCGGCGCAAACGGCCTCAACATCATCACCCCGGGGAAATGCAGCTCCGATCTCGTCAGGTCATCTCTAATCCGTCCGCAAACGGTACGATCATGATCGTGGTCCTGTTTTTATGCTCTCGTTTCGTACTTTTAAATTTTTTTATTTTTTTATTTTGCTTGGGGTTAGTTCTGTTTGGTTAGTGGGAAAATACTTTGAAAGCTTCGTAAGGCTTAGTTTTTCTTGGAAACTCTTGAAAATTATAGATGAATTTAATCAATGAATTTTCAACTGTGGATTGTTTTTTTCAACGGTGGGTGTTCGCTTTTTACGTTTATTGGTTGGTTAGGGTTAGTTTTGTTTGGTTTCCCAGAAAATTCTTGGTAACTTAGAAGGAAAAAAAAAAAGAAAAACGCTTGGTTAGGGTTAGTTCATGACTTTTATAACTAGTCTTGAAATCTTTGAACATGACTTTTATAACTAGTCTTGAAATCTTTGAACCTTGTTTTGTTTTAGCAGAAGTTCAAAATTGCTATGTTTTCCACATTCAAAAGCAAAATCTCAAGTATAGAATTTTGCTTAATTAATGGCGATCTTCAATGTTTAATTCAGGAGAACACAGTGATGGTTCTGAGTCTTCTGACAAGGCTGACAGTGATTTCCAGTTGAGTGATTTGTCTGACCATGAAATTCATGTGGTGTCTTCAGATTCTGATGTAAACAACTCTACCAATAAAGGTATTTTCTTCATCCATCAAAGTTAGTAATTGATGAAATAATATGTTAAAAATCTATGCTTCTATGTATAGAAATTTTTTTTTTTTGGAGAAAAAGCCTGTGGGTTTTTTCAGTGGAAAATGTTTTCTAGATAATATTTTCGATGAAAAGAATTCAGTTGATGATTTTTCTTAAAGTAGATAACCATTTTTTAAAGAAAAAGGTTAAAACTCTCTTATATTTTGTTCAGTTTTCCATTTTGTTTTCTTGGTTATTTAAGGTTTTACCATTTGGATTTTAAAAAATGGGGCAATCCGAAGTAAGAGGTTATCTGATGGTTTTGACATGGATTCTTTTTACATATCACAAATAATGATTGTAGGTGAAATGTATGAAGAGAGAGATTTTCTTGGTTTAAATTATAAACCAGAGGCAAAGATTAATGTTACTCTTTCTGAATGTGCTGAGCCTTCAAATAAAAGGGGTGAGACCAATCTAAATCTAAACCAAGTCAATGATGAAAAGGAGTTAGCAGACCAAGATTATGATGACTATCCTGAGTCTCATCACCCTCCTGAGTCTCATCACCCTCCTGAGTATCCTAGGCCAATCAGAAAGAGGAAATACAGTGGAAGAAAGAAAAGGAAGAGAACAAATACAGGGTCATTGTTGAAGTGGGAGGAATGGGAAGACAATCACGAGAAATGGATTGATCAGAACTTTGCTGCAGATGTAGATTTGGATCAGCAGAATGCAGTAATAACTGAAACTGCTGAACCATCATCTGAGTTGATTATGCCTTTGTTAAGATACCAAAAAGAATGGTTGGCATGGGCTCTAGAACAGGAGAAGTCTCCAGTCAAAGGGGGAATCCTTGCAGATGAGATGGGAATGGGAAAGACCATTCAAGCAATTGCTCTTGTTCTTTCCAAAAGAGAACTCTTTCACACGACTGGTGAATGTGATGGATCTTCATTGACTCCCAGTTCATCTAAAGATTTTCCTGCAGTTAAAGCAACCCTTGTGATTTGCCCTGTTGTGGCAGTCAGTCAGTGGGCAAGTGAGATTGATCGGTTTACATTAAAGGGAAGTACCAAAGTGCTGGTTTACCATGGGGCCAAAAGAGGGAAGAGTATTGAACAGTTCCTGGATTATGATTTTGTGATAACCACATATTCTGTTGTTGAGTCTGAGTATAGAAAATATATGATGCCTCCCAAGGAAGAGTGTAAATATTGTGGGAAGTTATTCCAGCCATCAAAACTCCGAGTTCACCTAAAGTATTTTTGCGGCCCACATGCTACTAGGACAGCAAAGCAGTCCAAACAAAAGAGGAAGGAGAAATCAATGTCAAATGTGAAAAAGGTTGTAAGAAAGAAGAAATCAGAACTTAATATGGAAGAGAAAGATATGGGCTCTGAGTTTGAAGTGGAAGATTCTGCAAGAGTAGAACGTCACTCAACTCAAGGAAAATCAGTTTTGCACTCTGTGAAGTGGAAGCGCATCATCTTGGATGAGGTGGGTTGCCATTAGCCAATAAATCTCAAGTTAATTAGTTCACATATCGTTTAGTAGAACGTCTTCACATCTATTATGATATGTTTTCTAACTGCTCTGAACTAAGTTTGCTGTTAAATTTTCCTTTCATTTGCTTAAATCATGCAACCCAGGGTTAGCATTGTCTTTATGTTCTTCACAAAAATTGAGTTTCAAGTGCCAAAAACAAAAACTACTAGACTTGTGCCGTTGCATCTTTCTTTTGATTTTCAGTACTAGTTTGACCATAAATATTTAAAATTAACAACTGGTTACCCTTTTTACAAGACAGGCCCATTTTGTGAAAGATAAACGTTGCAACACTGCAAAGGCTGTTATGTCTTTAGAGTCCTCTTATAAATGGGCTCTGAGTGGCACTCCACTTCAGAACCGTATTGGAGAACTATACTCTCTGGTAAGTACCATATATCAAGAAAAATGTGGAAACTTTTTCTTTTCATGCTTTTTTATTTTCTGTTGCAATTACACAGGTCCGGTTCTTGCAAGTAGACCCATACTCCTATTATTTGTGCCGCGATTGTGACTGCAGAATTCTTGATTACAGGTATGATCTAAGATGTAAGGTTTGAAACCAAGTCTGTATTTTTCGTTGTTACATTTTTAGCTTCTTGTTATATGGTGCATGATTTGATCAACTGAATGGGGAGTAAATGACTTTCAAGTCTCTGTTGGTCATTCAGAAATGGTAATGCTTTCTGGCATGAAACTGAAGAATATTTCTGATATAGATTTTACTCTTTAGTCTTTAAAAATAAAAATAAAAAATTGAGAGTTTTAGCTTCTAACATGTAGCCTTCTTTAAACTAGCAGTTTTATGGTGACTTACTTGTATAGCCAACTTTTTAGTAATGGACATCTCATTTTCTATGAGATTTATCATTTATGTCCTTGTAAACATTTACTCTAGGAATTGCAGTTGTACTTTAAATTACATTTTTCAGTCACATCATGTTAAACATAAATATTTACTAGTATGGCAGCATAAATTTCATTTTGTTACCTGTTGAGTCACTAAGGGTTTCATATCCAATCTGTTTGGTTAGGTTTTATTTCCTTTTATTCTTTTTATGTTTTGGTCTCTTTTTGTAAACTGGACCTTATCTACAGTTCATCAAACCAATGTTCCAACTGTGAGCATGCTTCTGTGAGGCACTTTTGTTGGTGGAATAAGGTGAGTTTGGCAACTGTTTCCCTATTTATTTATTTAGTTTTTGTGTTGTTAATGCTTTATGGAAAATTTATTCTGAAATATATTTAAATTTGGTTCAATTCAGTATGTGGCTACACCAATACAGCATCATGGTACTGCTGTTAATTCTGGAAAAAGAGCCATGATATTGCTTAAACACAAAGTTTTGAAACAAATTCTCCTTAGACGTACCAAGAAGGGCCGGGCAGCTGATCTTGCTCTTCCTCCCAGAATTGTAAGTTTGGTCAATGGACAAATACAACATATATTCTTGTTTGTCTCATTACTCAATAACTTCTTCCTGCAGGTTTCATTGAGGCGAGACAGCTTGGATATAAAGGAAGCAGATTATTATGAATCCTTATACAATGAAAGTCAAGCACAATTTAACACGTAAGCTACCTTCTGTTATGTTTCCTTAGCTTTTGATTAATGATCTGTTTGGTGTGTTCAGTCACATGCTCTTTGGGAATTTGATTTGATCAAAGAGATGTTTCTGATAGTATCGTACCTGCAGTGACTTTCTTATTGATTGATATTTTTATTTGGCCAGCCAAAGAGGCTCATTGATTGTTTTAGTGATTATATTTTGGGATGAATGGTGTACCATCTGATGATGGATATTATTCTGACCAAGATGTATCCTGTTGAACTGTGGTTGGAATATGCCTTCTAAGGAGCCTTCTCTTTCCTTTTCTCTTTTCATTTTTCATTTTTTCCCTTTTGGTTAGATGGGAATTTTTCATTTACCCATATCTTTACCCATGTTGAGGTTATTCACCATTGCATTTAGATTCTCACTTGTTAAATGGTGAACAATGGTGCCAATCATATGTTTTTTGCTTTATGCTGAGCTTTTTCTTAATTATTTTGCTGATGAAGCTATAGGAAAGAACGAGCTATATTTTTTTAAATCTTTGTTAAAAATGGTTTTGTGCTTTCTGCACTCGCTTTTTGCAGATATGTCCAAGCAGGAACTCTATTGAACAACTATGCTCACATATTTGACCTCCTTACTCGCTTGCGACAGGTGAGAATTATTCCTGTGTGATTGGTTGATTGTTGTTTTTAATTAAGTACACTATTCATTCTGTTATATTTATTTTGTGTTGCTAGAAGTGAGTGACTTATATCATATGTGGATTTTAAACTAGGTCACATGACAAAAGAAATGCGAAACATTTAGTTGTTTCCCTTCAAGTTTTGTTTTATTTTCAAAATGTCTATATGACCAATTGTTTCTTAGCACTTTAAAATTTTTTCTTCATTATGAAGTGATATTTTGGTCTTATCCATCATAAATGAACTTTGGAAAAAGGTGTTGTGCCATTCAGATTGTATTGGACCACACAACACTAACCCTCGGATGGGGGGTGGGCTCATTGATATTTGGTACCCTCTCTCCATCAAATGGACCCTGTTTCACAGTCCAGAATGCAAAACAGGGGACTCAAGAACTTTGATTGTTTAAGAATTTTTTAAAGAAATTAAAGTTCTGTTGTTGTTGTTGTTTTTTTTATTTTTTATTTTTTTTATTTTTTTTTTATTTTTTTTAAAAATAATTCCAGGAGTGTTTAAATGAAGAATGTCTTGTGATTCTTCTTTTCCATATTTTTAGTTTGGTTTCTACAAAATATTTTCATATTTCAGGTAGCAAGAATTTATAGTATTTTCAGTTGTCAGTCATTCTTATAGGACTATCCAATCCTCTTGAAGAAGCAGAAACTGCATGCTTGTAGCTATTTCTTTCTATGGTTGTCTCCCTTACCTCTCATGTAAAATTACAGGCTGTTGATCACCCTTACCTTGTGGTGTATTCTAGTAGTGCTGTACGGAGGAGTGGAAGCTTGGTTGTTGATGCTGATAAAGATAATGTTGAACAAGAATGTGGGATTTGCCATGAATCAGCAGAAGATCCTGCGGTAGTTTTCTGTTTTATTTGTTGTTCCATTTTTTTTTTTTTTTTAAAAAGTGGGCATATTAAGTAGCTCAATATTGGTCCATAATCTATAACTCTCTAGTCAATTACTTAAAAAACTCTTCAATTAGAAGTTATATAGAACAGGATAGAATTATAGAAGCAAAGATGAGAAGGAATGAATGATAGGTTTTTGAAGAATAATCACTCAATTTATTATAGATGGGTTAACCCAAAACCCAATACAGTCTAGCTCTTATTTAGAAACCTAAAACCCTAATTGGACTCCTAAAACCTAAAACCTAAGCTTATATAATTAACAAAATCATTCGTTAATGTTTGTTGACAACAAATCCTCACAACATAATGTGACAATAGTTTTTATTAACTCTTTTCACTCAGAGGGACTCCTGAATCGGTATGCATTGACTTGTTTGATTGTTGTGAGGATTTGTTGTCGACAAAAGTTAATAATCATTTTCATATTATTAGCTCCCAATAATATTACATCACATATTCACAGTTTAATGCCTATTTCCTAAAATATTCATAATTATAATAGAATCTTCAATCCTATAGGCTAATTATAGCAATACTTATAACTTGAACTCTTTTTGAATCCAACAGTATTAGTTTCATAAAAGTAGTTTGGGCATCAAATTTGTCTGTGAAAACAAAATCAATTGCTTGAGCATCTTGGAAGACAGGAAAGAATTCATCAGCATCCATGTTCTTTTTGGGACCTTCCTCCATTTCCACCTTGCATCCAACTTTGTTTCTTGTATTTTTCAAGTACCACTCCATTGTCAAAGGTTTTTGTTCATTCTGCTTCAATTACCACTTTATTATTGAAGTCTTCTCCTCGGTCTTCCTCCTTGAGAACTTCTTTCACTAAATTTTCTTTTATGATATCAAGAGTGACTTGACGGTTGTCTTTAGTTACCTGGATATCTTTCTTCAAAGATGTAAATTGGTTTTTTGAAGAGACTCCAGTTGTTGTGGAATGGTCACAATACTCTAATGCATGCAAAAAGGTCATATCTGAGCCATTCAAACAATAAAGGAGAGATTGTAAATTCCATTATGTAATTCACTTAAATGGAGTATTCCATTGATGCCATCTTCAGCCAGTTGACTATTTTCTTTGAACTCATCAGTACACCTCACTGACTCTTCAATATAATTTAAGTTTCTACTTGATCTGGACAAAGTACTTGCTGAAATGAATACCAAGATCATAATCGTAATAGCCTCTTGAGCTCAGTGATTCTCTTGGATTTCATCCAATTAGTGGAAAAATTTAGAGTTTTTGCTATCTTTAGTTGATTTCCCTTGTATTTTCCTACTGTTTCAGGTTACCTCTTGTGGACATGTATTCTGCAAGGCATGCTTGCTTGACTATTCAACCTCAGTAGGAGAAGTCAAATGCCCATCTTGTTCAAGAGCACTTACTGTAGATCTAACTACAAAGGCAGATGCTGGAGGTCAGACTGGGAAAACAACAGTTAAGGGGTTTAAATCCTCAAGTATTATAAACAGATTACAACTGAATGATTTTCAGACAAGCACAAAAATTGAGGCTTTGGTAAGTCCTTTTTTATTTGAGATTTTTTAGCTTTTTGCGTCAGGTGGCAACCTTATTCAATTGTTTCAGTTTGAAAGAAGCTGCTATATGTGTTGAAGAGCATCACATCTATACTATATTTCTTCATCGACCATCAATCTGTCTTTTTAGCTTTTAGAGCTTTTGATAGCTATTATATGTTTGCATAAATCATGCTCATGGCTGGTCATTTTGATGGTCTTTGAAGGTATTTAGCCTGTTCTGGTACAGGAAATATTTCTTGAGTGTGAATAACTTGTGGCTGTGGCTGCATGATGTTTTCTAGGCTATGTGGTGCGGGAAATGTTTGGGGTTATGTGGGCTTGGGGATTTAGCGGCTGTTTACTGTAAGTTTAGTGTGTGAGAAGTGTGCGTGAAGAGTGATATAGGGTCTGTTTAGGGTAGATTTTAAGGGAAAAAATAATAATAGGAAAGATAGGAATGATAGAAAATCCTAGGAGTCACCTAGTTTCTTTTAATCCTAATATTCCTAAATTAACAAGAAATAGAGTTCCTATTCTAATTAGACTAGAACTTAGGCTCAATAAAATACTCTTAACTCCAATTTATCAGCTGTCTGCTTCAGTAACTTAAATAGGTAGTGGGCAACGCTCCTCCCAAGGGTGGTGCGCATGACATCTTTGAGTTCTTTTTTATTATTATTATTCAATATCAATTAAGTTGGTAGTAGCTACTTCACACTATTAGCAAAA